ATAACTATCTGCCCACAGGAACAAGGAAACAAAAAATAATTGAAAACTTTCCCCCCAAAAACCCCACAAAAACCAGACACACAATCACAGACATTAATGATTTCTGAATAGATCCATTCACACCCTCTTGGTCAAGTGTCATGAATTAAGAAGACTTTTTAGATATAAACTTAAAGAAAGTGTCCAAACTACCTATGTTTATGACAAATTACACCACATGGTGAAATTGGTTAACATTATCAAAAGGTGAATTCAGCATATCTGCCAAAAACGTTGTTGTTTTGTTTTGTTTTGTTTTTTTTTAACAATCTTTTCTTGGCTGATTAATAAAGAACTTTTGAAATAATTTAATCTCTCCAGGGATGCGAATGTTAGTTTATATTTTTCAAGGCTGATTACTGAAGAAGTCCTAAAGCAGTTTAATCTGTTCAGGGGTGTTAAGCAAATATGTCAACATTCATTTTACATTTGTGTCTACCACAGCTAAATGAGAAGAATGCTGGAAATAGATTGGAGTGCTCTGTTTGCTCAAGGTAAAAAAAAAAAAAAGTCAATATGCTTCATATTTTATAGAAGAGGCAAACTCCTTTCTAAGATGAATGCTTTTCAGATTGAAGTTTTCAGTAGCTTTACTGTGCAGATTATGGTCTGGCATTCTGCCACATAATGATATATAACCTTACAGCTCACTATTATGCAAATAACAATTTGGCTAGGAGAGCTGAGTGCTTAGATTTCCTCTAAGGACTATCATATATTTCAAACTTCTTACAACAAATTATATTTGACATTTAATTTGAACTCAATTTATGTAGAAAAATAATTTTAAAAACCCTCTTGTGTAAATTTCTAATAAGAAATGTGTTGCACTTTAATTTTTCTTTTTTTTTTTTTTTATAGATATATATGTGCATAGGAAGCTTAATTTGCATAGGCAGGGAATACATCATTATATAGTAAACCATATATGGAAGGGTATCCTAAGCAATGATTGCTCAGTACAGAGGAAAATATACATGGGCAACAACAGCAAAAATGTTAAAATTCATACATGCATCTCCTACTAATTAATTCTTACAAAATAAGACTGACAAGTACATATGCATTCAACCATGTTGTACAGGGAATTAATAGTGGAGGACGGTGCATGAAACATAATGAAGTTCAGAAACTGGTAATTAATATGGGAAAGGTCAGTTCTAACCTGCACCTCTTCCTTTCATATCCCTTAAATTCACCTGGTGGGATCAGTACCACACTTATGGCAGAGTCATTCCATGTTCATTCCAGCCCTCCCAAGGACACCAAGACTGAATTTGGCACAGATTTTTTTCCATACCAATGGCTCAGGCTCTCCATCCAGGAGCTGGTCTGACTGTGCATGTAAATATTTACAGCCTGCAAATTCACAAACATTAAACTTATCCTATTCTTTTTCTACCTCTCTGTGTTCAGATAACATGAAGGATTTAATTACTTAATCAGAAGTCTTTATTTCTATTCTGCTGTAGCTTTGCCTCACCTTTATTCTATTATCTTACAAGCACTTAAATATTTGTTAAGAGCTATTGTTACCTTGAAGGAGTACAGTCAAATGTCCATCATATCATGTCACAATCTCTGAGGTTCCAGGATGTTTGACACTGTCTTTAATTAAGTTTATATTAATAAACATATAGAAGGAAATAATCCCCATGTCACTTAAAAAGTGAGTGCATGGTTTCTCAAACAAAAGTGGAATGTGTCTTCATTCTTCCTGAATTTCATGGCAGATCTGAGATAGAGAAAACTGTAAAAAAAAAATCCCAACCCACAAAACAAAAAAACTGTGTAATTGAGAAGTTTCTTGTAGTTCCATGCCTCCAACATGCCAAAATTAGTCACTAATCTTCATACCTTTGGAGCTGATGGGTGTATCTTTAACAACTGTTAGAGAAATACAAACATTAGCTCAAAATACTCTATTAGATGATAATCCCATCATTAGAACTAAGCAATTAACTCACAGTGAATAATTTCCTCAGTAATTTTTCCTCTCGTTCTACTCGCACCATATCTGTGAGAACAATGCAGCTTGCCTAAGCTCAATCACCTTTCACTTTTCTTCAGTTATTTTGGGAAAGACTTTGGAATATTTCAACAACTGTTATTTTATTTATTTGGATAGTTATTTAAATTTGAGTATTGACTTGTGACAGTATTCTACTGGATACATTCAGGCACTGAATGAGCACAAGCCAAAGAGAAGACCTTGTGGATACAGTTATTTAAAAATTCCTGCTCTGAGTAAGGTTTCTCCCACCAAACCACATCCTCTCCAGCAGGGGAAGCCATTGAAACTGGGTAGAGTAAGGTAAGGAAAATATCAAATTCATCTTTCTCGTTGTCTCTTGCTTTTTCTTCTTGCTATTTCTTTTCTCCTGAATATATGAAAAAAAGCTCAATACTGTGGGAGTCTTCTGCTGGGGAAATGGACCTATATGGACAGAAACAACTCTAAATCACAAATAACAGCTAAACAAGTGGTAGTGACATAGTCTGAGAAGGAAAGATGCTTATAGGAAAATTTTAATATAAAAAGTGAAACAAATCCAAAGCAATTTATTAGTAAATGCTTTGAAATTAGTTCATACAATGTGCTGATGCTGCTGTAACCTATGGGGTGGCTGCCTGCACAGAAACCAGATACTGTGTTTTTAATTACTCAGTATTAACTGTAAACTCAGATTCAAATGATAAATTATCTTAACCCTGCAGTCAGCAAAAATATTCCTAAAAAGTATTATTTAAGCAGTTAAGGACATTAGTTAAAAATTCTGCAAAGTTGTGCACAATGCAGTAATGGAGTATCAAATTTGCATGCAAAAATCCACGCTAGAGAATGTTTTTTGTGTGCTTATCTGTTTGCTGACAGTCAAAAAAACCCCATGTGAAGTGAAAAATCCTGACACATTTAACATATACAAACTCAGGATCAAAGTTCCAATTTAAATATATCCTAAACCCTTAGTATTTCTACTTCTATTGTTTTCCATGATGAAAGTTTGCTTACCAAAAACAAAAACAGCCAGCAAATTTAATAGATCACTAATTAATAAGAACTTATCTTGCAATGATCTTTATTAAATATGTGACATTGTTGGGAACATAATAAGAAAGTGATCTTGAAGTAACTAGGTGCTCTGAATCCAGTTACACAAATCATAAAATACAGACCTTGCTTATGCCTAAGGAGAGTATCTGGGATAAAATTGCATACTTCACATTTGGGGACTCAACTCTATAATGTACAGAACTAAAATGATTAGGTTCTCCTAATCTAAAAATGTGCAATATTTATGGCAGTAATCACAGTATTACAATTTAGCAGGCATAGGCTTTTTTTGATATGCAAATTATTTAGAAAGAACATTGCCAAAATCAGGCAGTTGACAACCTTGTCCATTACTTTGCAATATGACTTCAATGTCTGTGTTAGTTGAGCAAAGTCTGGATCAAAAATGTCAATCTATTCTAGTGACTCACTTGGTATAATAAGATACTAATGTTTTAATGTGATTACATCAGAACTGATGCTAAGCCTATCTACAGCATATTTTCTAATCCTAGAACCACAACAGGATTTGACAAATTTAATTTTTCCTACAAATGATCCAAAACTATCCATTCCATTTCAAAACCCTGAGATGACAATGTGTTGTATATCCAAGCAAACCAAAGACTGCAAGGTGGATGACACTGAACTGAGCCTAAAATATTAATCAGTAAGGGAGTCCAAGGATGGAGAAAAGTTACTTTTTCTTTTTTTGTGAAGTATTTACTCTTTTCCAGGCAAAGGTTTTGAAAACTCAGAGATGCTGAGCAGTTCTATAAATGTGCAGAACAGGTGATTATGATTTCATGGAATCACATACCTTCTTACCTCTTCTTATATTATACTGGTTCTCATGGTGAAGGTGTAGAAATGTTTCTAGATAAAGACACAGATGGCAAGGGGCTTGATCTCTGAATCCATTTATTCACTCCTAGACAGTAAAAGCCCTAAGTCATGCTGCTCCGTGAACCTCACAAATACAAGGGTGCTTTCAAAATGCACGTTATGCAAAGCTTTACCTCTGCATAAATAAGAAGAAAAACAGAGCAAGTCTTAGACATTCTCCTTTCTGAGATACATTCACACACTCGATATTGCTCCATTCAGGCAGCAGAGGAATCAATCTCCAAAAGACAAGTGACTCACCTTCTGATTATGTTACACAACCCAGCAGCTGCTGCTACCACAAGTTTTAAGTAAACTTAAAAGCCAGTGTTAAATTTCCGAGGGGTGCTAATACAACAGGTCTAATTGGCAATTTGGTCAAGTACTAAATAAAAATGAACAAGCAAACAAACACTCTCTTTCAATACAGTGATGTGTGGTTACATATATTAAAAAAAAAAGGGAGCGAACTGTTTGCCTTGCGGGCATGAGGTTTATCCTAAGACACTTAAAAGAATCCATTAAATCCATTTACTAACCCTTCAGTATCACCATAATGTGCTTCTCTGGGAAAAGGCAAGAGAACCAGTCTTACAGCAGAGTGCCTGGAAGGATATCTGTTGTGCTTTGTCAGACTGAGCTTCAACATAAGGGGTTAATGTTATTATCACCATATATGTCTTTTTCAGCAGCTGTATAACAAGAAATTACTTTTTTCCTCCTAAATTGTCTCTTAGTTTTCCTTCCTTTTCCCCTAGTGCTTCAGACCAAACCTACATAATTGTAGAAAGAAAAATATCCACGATGGCTTCAGTTACTTATAATGTCTCAATATGGTCAGTTAAGTTTCTCTTTTGGTTTTATCATTATATAGAGACGTACACCACTCATTCCTGCTGCATAAGTGCTTTTAGGAAACATACCAAGACAGTAACAACATCCCTCTTTTACTAAATCATCTCTAATCTCTACATGATCTTATAGTCCATAAATACTGATTATGAGACAGGGACTCACCCACCTCTTTCATCCCAAGCAACAGTGACCCAGACTGAGAAAGACAGTTGGCAGTACAACCTCAAAAAAACCCCCAGAAAAACCTAAAATAAAAAATAAATAAGTGAATAAGTAAAAGAGAAAAAAAAAAAAAACAACCTAACAATGGAGCACCATTGATATTTTCATGGGGATCCAAAATGGACAGGCACTTACAAGGGGTCAATAACTCCCTAAGAATTTCTGAAATTTAAATGCACTCTGGTGCTAAGTTCCCGGAATTTAAACAGGCTAATTAACTTTTAAACTCTTTTACAAGGCACTTCTGCTCAAGAATGAACCATGTGGAAATATCCATCGTCTCTGATCCCTGGAAAGATTTCTTCAGTCTGATCGTGCTCTTTGCGATGAGAACAACAGACATTTTGGAAATAGGGAAGTCACACAAAGTTGCAGAGCTCAGAAGGAAAGAGGAACAGATGGTTTCACTAATGAGTTTTCTAAAACACACACCCTGTCCTTGGTGGACATGGTGCAGGAGCTAAAATGTTCCAGTGATTATTTTCTTAAATAACTAGACCTTTTCTAAACAGATTTATGTAGTTGTGTTAAATACTAAAAATCAATAAGCAAAAGTTCTGGTTTGTTTTGTGTTGGAATTTTTTTTTCCCTTCATGCCATGACAGTCTCAAGAAAACCACAAGATCGAATTTTCACATTGTTAACAGATCTTCCATAAGAATTTATGAAGATCTGCTGAACTCACTGATGTTAGGCATCAACAACTAGTTATGATTATTGTCAATAAAGGCAACTTCAACTTTTGGGAGGTGTATTTTTGTTTTAATTTTATTTAATGCATTCTTGTAAGAAATGGAAGCTCCTGCTGTGGTAAATCAGTGTCATGATATGCACTTGGTGACTTCTAGAAGATAATTAATTCTGTGGGATTTAACTTCATAACAACAAATTAATACCAATTAACTCTTACCTTAAATTATTAAACAGTATTTTTAATTTGCCATTATAATGAACAAATAAGACATCTGAAAGTAATGGAAAACTTTGGAATTAATTATCTGACTTTTAAAATTTGCCAGTTCCTGAAATTCCCTTTCTTCATTTATATGTATCCTTAGGTTTGTTGTGTCCCTTCTTTCATGGTATCTATGCACTATGTGCATTTCTAGGAAAAAAGCAAAAGAAAACTGCCCAAAAAATCAAAACATGGTTGAACATGCAATCACTATGTCTTTCAGTATATATGACTGCTTGGAGACAGAAATATCTGCATCCCTCTGTTCAAGTGACACATTCCATGCCTCCCTGTTTAACTGAGCCTCTGTGCTGTGTGACTGATGCTTTTCCCTTTCAATACCCTCCCTAAATCTTAAAGGCCTCCAATGGATGAACAGTGAATGAGTTGGACTAAAGGATGAATGTGAGAAGTTTTACAAATTGCTAAATCCATTCCCCTGGGTGAGGCATATGGACATCTTTTTATGAATTTGGGGGCTATTTATTGATCTGGAGAATTGCATGAAAACAGTGAAGGAAAAATTATGCTTTTCAGACTTGGTTGTGTTTTCCTTAACAACACAGCAAAGTTGAGCTATTTACATCAGGTATTAAAAACTATCTGCACAGAGAGCACACTGGAGCATCCCATTACTTTATGAAATAGCTTTTGATAATATCATAATGGAAAAGGAAATTTCTTACATTCTTTGTTCTGAGTAACAAGTCCTACCAGACCAAGACAAAAAAAAAAAATAAACTACAGTTCACATTAATGATAGTTCAGAAAGAGTATAAAGTTATTGTGCTGGTTTTAGCTGGGGTAGAGTTAATTTTCTTCACAGTAGCTGGTATGGGCTGTGTTTTAGATTTGTGCTGGAAGTGGTTTGATAACACAGAGATGCTTTAGCTGTTTGCTGAGCAGGGCTTGCACACAGTCAAGGCCTTTCCTGGCCATCACCCCACCCCAGCAGTGAGGAGGCTGGGGGTGCACAAGGAGCTGGGAGGACACACAGCCAGGGCAGCTGATCCCAACCAATAAACCATGGAAAAGAGGAAGGAAACCTGGCCAGGGAGAGAGGGGTGGGGGGGATATCTAAATGATGGGTTTTGCCTTCCCAAGTGACTCTTGCACCTGATGAAGCCCTGCCTTCCTGGGAATAGCTGAACACCTGCCTGCCCATGGGAATTGGTGAATTAATTCCTTGTTTTGCTTTGCTTGCATGTGGCTTTTGCTTTATCTGTTAAAGTTGCTGGCTGGGGTTAAACCACAACAGTTACTTATGCTTGCCATTAGTGTCACCCCAAAAATTTTAAATACTAGTGACTTCTTTTTCTTAAGTTGAACAAATTCTAGGACAGGGAGAGAAGTTGTGAAGATCAAATGCCACATTGCACTAACCAAGGAAATGATAAATGTAGTCTCAATGGATATTGCAGTTGGATAGACAGAGAGATGTCTTTGGTAGACTGTAGCTGAAAGATACTCAGAAATAAATGAACAGAAAACTGAAACTCTGAACAAGTATAAACTGCCCAAGCCAAGACAAAAAGTCATGTGGTTTAACAGCTCATACATTCTAATACCACTATTTGAACATTCCCATGGAAAAAAAAAATCACCATTATTTGCTCTCTAAAAATAAAGTGATGAAAATTTAAATAGTTAAATAATACTTGCTCTGGTCATAGTCTTTCCAGTTCACAGCTATTGCTAATAAAACTGGGTATCTCCTCTAGTATCACTGGTAGTATATGAATATTTATAGCTTAGTAAGCAGCATAAAGCTAACAATTGCTTACGGTGCAAGAGACACAGAAAATGCAGTGAAAGAAATCTAGTTTTCCTGAACAATGGTTCATATATAAAAACACATTTTCAAGTAAGACTGTTCAAGCTGGATGGGAACATATTCATTTTAAAAGTCTGCATAACATTTGGGAGGATTCATTAATTTATTTCCTTTCAGTTTTGAAGGTAGCAGATGCTTCCCATTTTTCCTGTGGGAGTGAAGCAGTACCCACAGCAGAGGCAGACAAATTTATAGAGTGCTCAACCTGCTTGGACATACACAAATTCATGGGATCATGTGAGATGTATGTGAGGGTGCTGAAGGATGTGCCCTGATGTCACTGTAAGATTGCTCTCTATCATCTTTGAAAGGTCATGGCAATCAGTAAAAGTTCCTGAAAGGTTTCTGATGACTGGAAAGCAGAGGTCAGAAAGGGAGATCCCAGCAAGCATAGACCTGTCAGCCTCACCTCTGCTCTGGAGTAAATTATCTGGTTTTATCATAAAGATGGTCAAATATGCCCAAAGAGGTTACAGAATGCCCATCACTGAAGGTGTTCAAGACTCCACTGCACAAGCCCTGAGCATCCTGATCCAAACAGAACTAATGTGTCAAAGGGGTTAGACTAGCTGAAGTCCAGAGGTCCTACTCAAACTAAATTGTTGTATGATTCTGCAGGAGCAAAGGATCTTAACAAAAAAAGAAAAAAAAATAAAAATTGAAAGAATACATGCTCCATCATTTGGCTTCTTTTGTTTGTTTTTCTTTTCCTCCAAGTCAGTATTATACTAAACACTAGTCTGAGCCTTTATTATTGCATAAAGCATTCCTTTATTCAAGTGTAATGAAAAGCTTGTTATGACTTTCCAGCTACCAGTGCAAACAGTGCACTTAGCCAAATGGTAATTGCATCGGTCTCCCCTCTCTTCCAATACTGCTCTGAAAACTTGTGTCCCTCAAATGAATAATTACCTACAAAATAATTAAATGTTGCTGATATGGTCTACTCATCCCACTTGTACATAGAAACAGCAAAGTCTGTCTTCCCTGAAATCTATCTCCGTCATGTTGGATAAGCTTGCTGCCCATCACGCGGCTGGCATCGATCCCTACTCAATTACAGATGAACATAGCACCATATTAAAAGACAAATAAGGTTTAATTTTAATCACAGACAGCCTGTAAGTCCATGTTCCATTATAGATTAAAAGAAGCAATTATTTTTAAAAGTAAAGATTTAATGAAAGGCCTCACTAATATATAGACACATTGCTCCCTCTGCATTCTAAGGCAGACTCTGCAGTACTGGTGGAAATTGCTGCAAGCGATCTAAGCCAGGCGTGGGGATGCATCTCGGAGAAGAATGTTTTTCCTTCAGATCACAAACACGCTTTCTCAACAGGGTTTCTTTTGCAAGACTTTCTCTTTCAAATGAGTAAAATCACAGACCATTTATAGACAACAAATTAACTCTGTGGCCAGGGTTTTATTGTTACTAAGACGGAGTAAATGCAAAATAATTGCACTGAAGCAGACAGAAATTCCACATTAACGACACCGAGTGCTGCTGAAATCACTTTATCCCAGGTTCAGAAAGGTTGTTAGGAGCCTAATTCTCATTTGAATTCAATGGGAGTTAGGCACCTACACATCTCTGAATCTAGACATTATAGTCTTCCATCTGTAACAACAGGAGTTGGCTTGCATAATTAACTCCAGAATCTAGGGCACCAGAACCCTTTTTTCTTACTATTCATTCTTTAGTACAAGTTTCCAGTTTTCCTCATTTGTTGAGGTAGTATAATGCTTGTGAGACTGTGAAATAATAAAAATGTAGCTCTGTAGTGTTGTTATTAGCTCAGAGAATGTGAAGATAAAAACGTGTACATTTAGAGAGGCATCTACTCACGGGGTAATCAGAAAATGCTGTGAAAGCAATTCCACTTGTACAGAGAAAGCATGAGAAGTTACTTATATATATAAAAGTTAATATCTCAATTTTTAAAGCTAGTTTTATATAGTGCCATTCTTTTTTGTAGGAATTTTACATATGCCATTCAACCACAAATGCTTTAATGCATGGTAAAGTCCCTCCTTCATTTTCAAAATTTGAACCTACCTCCTTTAGAAGGGTTAAAATTGAAGCACCATTTACCAACAGACATTGCTATATCAATCTTAAAACTACCATTCACAGTTTAAAAAAAAACAAAATAAAGCAAAACAAACCAGGATTCCCTTGTCTCTAAAGAACCTGTATTTTATCTGCCCCACTAAGCATTGAGGAAAAGTATACGAAAGAAAACACTAGTTAGGTCTGTTGAATTAGAATCTCAGAGAAGAAATGCAGGAATTTCTGAAGCATTTTAAGGATGTCATATCAAAAGGTCACTTAGAATACTTCTGATAATGAACAAAAGAGTTGGGAAACCTTCTCATCTGCTTATATGCAGCCCTTCCTGTTTTTATCTTGCTAAATTCCTTTTGGTTTTGTCCTCGCTGATTCCTGAAGGAAAAAGAAATCTCAAGCTTCTCTACACTTGTTAGATATTCACAAAGAGAATATAGGAAACCAGCAAGCCAGTGCTATGATGGAAAACAGCAACTCATAATGCAGGTTCAGTGCAAAGATTCAGCTTCAGACAAAAGCAAGTGTGTTTTGTTTGTTTTCCAGCTGGGATTGTGCCCACTTTTCATACACACAATTAACAGAAACCAGTAAGTGATTCTACCAGGCCTAGGGATAACCAAGATTGCGCTGAATCAAATCCTTACAGGAATCCTATTTCTTTTCATTTTTTAATATTACTTTAAATACAACAAATTTCAGTTTCTAGGTATACCACCAAGTTTTTCCAACATATTCTGTGTCATATCTTAAAAAGACACATGAAATCAAGACTTTGTTAAATCCCTGCATGGAAAAACTGAAAACAAGATAGAACAAGATGCATACAGAAACTCCTGTCTTAGCATATCTTTCATTAGCAATATGTGGATATAAGAGTTCTTGAACAGGTTTCACTAAAATATTTAGAATATGCAAAGGTGTAGATCACTCTCTAGCTGATCTAATATCAATTCAAGTTAAGACCTGGATTACTGGTCCAACTGTGACTTTAAGATCAACAAAATTATTTTACTGTATCAACATAAAACATACATTAAATTTAATATCACTGAATTTTGGAAACTTTCTAATTTATTCTTATCTGTTCTAAGTCAGTGACTTCATTAAAGAAGAAATACATTTATACTCAAGGAAAATTAGGGAACAAATACAGTGTTTTCAAAAGCCACTTTATGTACTCCCCGTGCATCCGAAAGTAGAGGTTTGTGTATTGAAAATGCAAGCTGAAAATGTCACCTCTATATTCCTACGCTAAAATAACTTATTGTCATGTTTTATTTTTCAGGCTCAAAGGCCTCATCAATATGTTCTAGCATGGCTATATTGTCTACTAAATCCTCAGATACATTTCGTCCCTGGTTTCTGTAGATTAACCTATTATGAAATGTACCTTTACAGAGGCTGCTGAGTAACTTTCACATTCTGTGCTGTATTTAGAGATGATCTGAATTAAGGTATTTTGCAGAAGCATTAGTGCTCCCTCCCAATTTGTGTTTGCAGCAGTGACAAATAGGATTTTCTGTTATTAGCTATCATGAAAACTGATACAGCGTTTTCTGCAGAGTAATAGATGTCTTCATTCCCACTGTGACTAATAGCACTGAGACATTTACATGAGATTGCTATTTTCACAGATAGTAATTAGGTGCTTGATTCTGCCATGGCCTTTCAAAAGGTCTCAGGTACCTCAAATTCATGTAATGGTACATACATATATATTATTTTGGGAAAATTTTACAAGCACAGTACTGTAATATACTGAGATATTTATACATGAACTTTCCTTTGAACAATAGCTCAACATAAAAAACAGTGCACTTAAAGTCTGAAATACTTAATAAAAATGGCGAGTTTTTATAAGCATCATTTTGACATTAACTGAGTAATTTTGGCTGCATAATCATACCCCTGAAGGGATGCAATAAAATATAAATTTAATCAAATACATTTTCAGAACGGGCTTCAAGCTAGTGCATGTACAATTTTGATCCAAATATCTAGTCATGAGTATAATATCAGACCTTTAATTATAATTTCTATTATAATTGTTCTATTGAAGAAAATGTAGACAGTGCACTTACCTGCAATTATGCACACACAGTCTGTGGAAAGAGTAGATAAAGACCCTCCTGTGAACCGTCCCTTGCTGAGCTAATTCACCCAACTGGTTTAATTTCATTTGCCCTCAGTCCGTCGTTGCTGTGATTACATCTAAACGAAAAGACAAGGAAACACCAAACTGAGGGAAAAAAAAAAAAACACAGCTAGATTTATTGTTTAAACTTTCAATTTGACTTTTATTCTTGAACCATCAGAAAGTTGGGGTCACGAAAAGCATGTTGTAAGATGAAGTGTTTTGAACACTTTCTGATGATCGCATTTCTGAATATCGTATCGAGTGGCTGAAATGTGTGGCCTCACAAAACTCATGGCAGTGCTCACCTGGTGTTCTGCGATAGGGACCCTGTATTTTACTCCTAATATATTGAGATTTATAAGCCCATGAAGAAAAGTCTGTTGGGGGATATCTCGTGTAACGCTGCAGGCTGCTCCTCAAAGTTAAACACTCTATTTAGGCCGCGATTTCAAAAGGTTTTCCATGGCACTACGAGCTGAAGGAATACACAAATGTTTATTTGAAAGATCCATATGCTAATATATATGTTCCAATATTATGGTATACATCATCTGCTAATATTTACTGCAACTCAGCATCCACAAGGCACCGTGGAGCAGCTCTGTTACCAACATTAGCTTGGTACAGCAGGGATGTGTGGATTCAACAAGCCCACGTGTCCATCCATAAGAGGCCCTGCTTATGGGAAGGAACTGACCCTGGAGATATCTCAGCCTCTTTCATGGCATGTGTTATGGAATAGCAGCATTACATTTCCACACACTGCACCATTTAGCAAAAGCAGATGCTATAAACACACTAAAGATATTCCAGAAAGGAAGTAGGTCCTCCCATTAATCCTTAATGGAGGTACTTCTCTAGAAAATATCAACTCCCTGTCACATTTTATAGTTGATTCATGTTGCCCAAATCATAATTTTTAATAAGTTAGACCAAAAAATTCAACCGGGCAAAAATCTCTTCCAGTAAATTCCAAGGTACACAGTGTAATGTGTAGGTATAATGTCAATTCTCTTGTACATCAGCCCTATATGGAATTTTACATTGAGTCTGGTCCTCCCCCAGAATCTTCCTTGACCTTGAAAACTAAAAAGTTGTTAGCTTAGTCCTCTGGTGAAATAGCAGTAATAAATGCTAGGCTATTACAAAGTACCATAAAATAAATTTCAACCCAAAGCAAACAAACAAACAAAACCTCAAGTCAGCAACAAAAAAGGAAGTATTTTCATCATATAGATAGTGAAATACTGTAAACCCAAGGCACCCCCTATGCATTACTAATTACATCATCTGCCCATCTTGCTGCCACTAGACACTCAGCTGCTATGGGTTGGTTGCTTTCCTGAGGCTGCTGATACATTTATAATAAACATGGACTAACCACAAAGCAATGACTCCCAACACCTCGATGATTTTATCCTGGTGATTTTATCTTAGACAGAAGATGCTAGGAAAAAAACCCACAAATATCTTATTTAAAAAAATAACAGAGATGTTTGGCTCATCTCCTGAAAAAAATGATTTGCAATTAGAAACCAGCTTGATCACGCAGATGTCTGGCTTACACTCCTTTATATTCTTTATATAGGGATTTAAGAAGTTCAGTGCCATTTACACAAGTCCATTTAAATGATTTGGGCACGGAGCTTTTTGCTTTCTGCATTAATTCAAATATTCCTATGTGACTACTTTTGATAATGCCATGAATTACATGTAAACCTTGATCATACAGATTTGAATGTACAGGGCCAGAATTTAATCTTGTACTATCACTGCTCATGTAACTTCAGCTTTGGAAACAGAGGCAAAAATCCTTGTTCTCTTTTCCAAATACTTTCCAAAGCCAAGGCATATCACTGGAAAGCTACAAAGCAAGAATACATCTTTCCATACCTTCTACAAACACACACAGCCCAGGGACTTTAATGAAGATGTGCCTATTGTCATAGAAATATTCAATTGGCTTATCTCTTTATTTAGATAAAAAAAAATGCATACTAGAGCAACAAGATGTTAAGATAGATTCCTATCAAACGTTTTATCTTCAATAATTCAGCACATCAGTGGTGTAAATCATGATGTCAACTGCAACAATATTGATACCTATTTGCCAAATATTTAATGACTTAAATTGAAACCTTGGCATTATCAGGAGGCTAAAGTCCTCAAACCTCAATTTTTCAAGACGTGCATCATGAACATCCATCGTCATACATTAGCACATTGCCTCAGACACGTCCCAAAATGAAGAGCACCAGCTACTGGGATCATCAGAACTCATGGAGTAAAAACAGCCTTATGGAGCTTTATGGACTCATTTAGCAGGAATGGCATGGTAATGTTCCCCGTCAGGTTTGAGGTTTTCCAAACACCACATAACACACCATTCTCCTCTGAAATTGGAGAGAGCAAAATACAACCTCAAGAAATGGATGACACAAAAAGATCCACTGCCTTAGAAATGGTACCCACTGTAGAGTAACAGCACGAGTCAAACCCATGGACTGTCAATTATGGGGACAATATCCAGCAGCACATCCACCATCACCCACAAAGAAAACACAGAGAAACATGATCTTTAGAGGTTTGGTAGAAAAAGACAAGGTAGCAGCCCACTAAGAAATGTTAAGCCTCCTTTTTGTGAAAGCAATAGTCTCATTTAAACAAAATCAGACACAAGCAGTAGCTGCAGAGGTGGAGAAAGCTCAACATTATTAGCATTTCTGAACGTTACCAGAGTTAACAAATTCAAATATTTATGAGGGAGAACATAGGGGGAAAATGTCTGCTAGCGTGCCTTTTATGACACACAGAAAATAGATCCATAGGATACAAGAGAATATTAGAAATTCAAGGACTGTCAATGCCTGACAATAACATAAACAAGGGTGCACGAGAAAGAAGCCAAATCAGTACTACATAATAAACATATTTACCTCTCTCGGGCTTAGAGTTATTTTTCTATTGAAAGAGTGGAAAATAACTGAATTCCTGAGATAAGCTGGAAGGTTTGGTCATTTTCTCTGCAAAATTTGTAAACTCAAAGTACTTCATACACGCTCCCACCTTTCTTGATTATTATTTTTATTTTTTTGCTGGTCCTGCTTTTGTTTGCTGCTGATAAAAGAAAAGGCTAGCAGTTTATCTACAGCAAGGATTTACAGCTGTACCAGCACTTCTAGGTCACCAGCTTCAGCTAGCCAGGCTGGCACAGTAAACTTGTGAATGCTAAAGGCATGGAATTCAGAAATTCCCTGGTTTAAAATAAAAATAATAATAATAATAAAAAAAAAGTAAAAGGAAACAAAAGGGGAAAAAAATAAGGGAGTGGGCAAAATTATCATGACAATTCCTTCAGATACCACTCTATAAATTTTGAAGGAGCAGGAGCTCCACCCGCTTTTGAAACTTTCACAATACACTGAAAATCTATGAAGATTTAATGGGAGAGAAACAGGGAAGAGACTGACAGAGTCCAAAAATAGCTTTTCAGTTTATAATGCCTTCACTTGGGAAGCCTGATGGGCTGGGGTCTATATTCAAGGTTTGGATGGTCAATACAGATTTTGAAAAGAGAGAGCAACCCCCAGTCTTCTAATTAAAAAATTGTGACTGGATTTAGGAGACAATTTGGATCCCTGGGTCCCAAAGCATCACTGCAAGCTGGAAGAAGGCCACTCTGCCAAGGAGTAGAAATAAACTCCAGGTCTACTGCATGTATTAAGAAATGTTACCAACAGTACTGAAGATGTTCTGGGGCCAGACATTAAATATATAAATAATAGGTATCACATGGATGAGTTTTCCAATATCTCGGTCCTTTATTAAGGCAGTTTAGTTTTCATTTATGGAAAATAGAAATTTAATAATGGAGACTTCTTGGTCTAGCCATCAAAGATGAAAGAACTTCTAGAGGCATAAATATCACAAATTCTACCTAGAAATGTACACTTTTAATACTGCAAGTGATTATCCTCTCTAGCCATTTACTGAGTGGCATATGATGCTCACAAACTCTAGACATTTTACAGTTCAGAACTGGATTTTAATCAAAGCAAAGCTCTAGATCAAAAAAGAAGTCCTGGGGCTGTGGCTTGTAGGATGACAATTGCTGAAGGATAAACTTGCTCCTTCTGAAATTTTTATTATAAAAATTCAAAATTGATCTACATGGGACACCATTTAAGAAAACAGCGAAGCTAAAACATGGAGATAATCAAGTGAATTAAAAATCCATAGTGACCGTACAAATCCAGCTTAAACTTAGTTGGCTAATGACCTTCAGCAGCACTCTGAAATGGTAAGCTGCAAATGAGGCAAACCAATAGCCATGAAAATTCCTAAGAAGTGTTGTGATTTTTTTTCCCAACTCAGTCCAGTAACAAGGAGGTGATTCAAATTATTCAGCAGATGGCTCAGATGTAAGAACAGCTTGGTAGAAGCAGGACAAGGCTAATTAGAGCATTATGCCTGTGCCTTTTCTTCTTTATTTTCCACATCATTCCCTCTTCCCTTCCATAGAGTGTATCCAGCCTCTTCATTTCCCTCTCGAATATCATCTTCTATCTCAGCAATGCTCTTCTGCAGCAGCACAGCACAGAACTGCAGAATAAGCAAGAGATTTGTGCTAAGCAGGGAGCCAGGAGGGAGTGTTTCCCTCTTGGCAGGTGTGCTGCTATTTTCAGTTGCTCGCAGGGAAACTGCTCTTTTTCTGTATTCTCAGCTGCTCAAGTTAAAAGCACCTGTAAATACCCTGTGAATGCTCATGCAGATTGATGGCTGGGTTTCTACGAACTGCTACCTAAATTAAAATATGTGAACACATAAGATTGAAGGCCACAGGTTCCACAGCCCTAGTAAGTTTAGGCTATGGGGAAGCTGAGTATCCAAGGCCTTTGATCCCACAATTTACAGAGTTGTGTCCATTGGGAAAACCGAGAGCTTGGGAAAGAGCTTTGTGTGGAAAACCAATACAAGATCCAGGCCCTCCTGCAGCTCTTACACTCTCCAGGGCAAAGCATTTGCCAGCCTGAGGAGCCCAAGGCTTGCACTTGCCCCTAT